ATATCTGAAATGAGTCTCTTGGAGGCAGCATATAGATAGGTATTGTTTCTTTTATCTATTCATCCACTCTGTGTCTTTTGATAGGAGAATTTAGTCCATTTACATTTAAAATAATTATTGATATGTACTGATTGCCATTTTGTTAATTGTTCTGTGGCTCTTTTGTATTTCTTCTGCTCCTTTCTTCTTTTCTTGCTCTCTTCCTTTGTGATTTGACGATTTTCTGTAGTGGTGTGTTTATTTTTGCTTTTGTTTTTTTATTTTGAACATAATATATATATTTAAACATTTTATTTATTTCTTTGTCAGAGAGAGAGCATGCATACCACACACGTGCACAATCAAGGGGAGCGGCAGGCAGAGGGAGAAGCAGATTCCCCACGGAGCAAGGAGCCTGATGCAGGACTCTATCCCAGGACACTGGGATCATGACCTGAACTGAAGGCAGAAGCTCAACTGACTAAGCCACCCAGGTGCCCAATCATTGTAGATTTGGATCAAGATATCCTACTAGCGGGCCACCTGGGTGGCTCAGTCGGTTGAGCGTCCGATCTTGATTTCTCCTCTGGTTGTGATCTTGGGTTGTGAGATTGAGCCCCGCCTTGGACTCCATGCTCAATAAGGAGTCTGCTTGGGATTCATGTATTAGGTCTTTGTCCATAGATCCTGGCTCATAGCTCCCCAAACCCTTGGAATTTCCTGTGTTGAGAGTGATGAAGGTGTCTTTTGTTATATTAATGAAGGTAACGTTTGGACTCTCCAGGGAGAGGAAAGGGGCTGGAGGATCAATCAGTCAATGGCCAAAGCCTTAGTCAGTCCTGAGTATGCAATGAAGCCTCCATAAAATCCCAAAAGGACTGGGATCAAGAGCTTCAGGTTAGTGAACACACAGAGTGGGGAGAGTGGGGTGCTTGGAGAGGGCACGGAAGTTCCGTCCCCCTTCTCCAGACCTCCCCCTGTGTATCTCTTCATCTGGCTATTGATTCATATCTTTTGTCATATCCTTTAATAAACTGGTAAACTTAAGTGTTTCCTTGAGTTCTGTGAGCCACTTTAGCAAATTAAAGGACCTAAGGAGGAAGTGGTTGGAACCTCCAATCTGAAGTTGGTTGATCAGAAGCATAGGTAACAGCCTGGGGCTTGTGACTGGCAACTGAAGTCAGGGGTGAGGGGCAGTTTTGTAGGACTGAGCCCTTAACCTGTGAAGTGTCATGCTATCTCTGGGTAGGTAGTGTCAGAATTGAGTTGAGGGGCGCCTGGGTGGCTCAGTTGGTTAAGCGGCGGCCTTCGGCTCAGGTCATGGTCCTGGAGTCCCAGGATCGAGTCCCGCATCGGGCTCCCTGCTCGGCAGGGGGTCTGCTTCTCCCTCTGACCCTCCCCCTCTCATGCTCTCTCTCTAGCTCATTCTCTCTCTCAAATAAATAAAAAAATCTTAAAAAAAAAAAAAAAGAATTGAGTTGAATTCTTGGACACCCTGTTGGTGTCTGAGAATTGCTTGGTGTTGCATGTGTGGAGAGCCCCCATGTCGAAACTGGGTCCAGGAATGCCCAAAGATCTGTGAATATACTAAAAGCTACTGGATTGTATGCTTTAAGAAGGTGAATTGTATGCTATGTATATTATGCCTCCATAAAGCTTTTATTTAAGAAAAAGGATAAAAACAAGGGCTGAGGCCCCATGGGTGATCCTTACCCCTCCCTCTGCTTTGGCATGCCGGAGCCTTCACTTGGTGGAGAAACGTGGCCGTGCCTGGACATGCTCACAGCGGGTGTGCTTCATGGTCAGCCCATAGATGGGGGTTAGATCTACTTTCACACCGTCTGGCACACTGAACTCCAGCCGCTGCAGCAAGATGGCTAGGAAGAGGAAGATCTCCCACTTGGCCAGGAGCTCCCCTATGCACCGGCGCTTGCCCATGCCAAAGATCATCACCTTCTCACTCAAGATCTTGTTGATTGAGGTGCCATCAGCAGTGAGGAATCGCTCTGGTTGGAACTCAAATGGATCCCCCCACACCTTTCTGCAGGAGGAACAGAGGAGATGGGATTTCTGGCTGGGGGAGACCCTGGGAGGAAAAGCCTTGGGGAGACTTCTGTGGATGGCACCAGTGTGAGAATAGATTGAGAGTAATGAGAAGAGAGTGGAGAGAGAAACCAAACTGTACTTTCATGCTTATTTCTTTTACAAAGCTATTTCTAAAATGATTGGCCTTGGGGTGCCTGGGTGGCTCAGTCGTTAAGTGTCTGCCTTCGGCTCAGGTCATGATCCCAGCGTCCTGGGATCGAGCCCCGCATCGGGCTCCCTGCTCCACGGGAAGTCTGCTTCTCCCTCTCCCACTCCCCCTGCTTGTGTTCCCTCTCTCGCTGTGTCTCTCTCTGTCAAATAAATAAATAAAATCTTAAAAATAAAATAAAATAAAATGATTGGCCTTGCAAATGGTGCTTTGTCATATCAATTTGTTATTTTAAAGAAATAATGTTTCAACTAAAAGAAATTAAAAGAAGGAAAACATCTCTATCCTACTCAATATACAAGAGGAATCAGCAGTATATCCTGGTTTATGCTTTATTGTTTTGGAGTAATTGTTGACAGCATCCCTTTTCACACTCAGAAGTGCCTCAGTTTGGGTGGTAAATTATATGGTCCCCCTACCTCTAGGCTAGAGTGGGATTTTCCAAAGAGAGGTCGCTGGGCCATTGACATCACAATCACCTGAGGTACTCCACTTTACCTACCAAAGTAGAATTCTGGGGGATGAGGCCCCCTAATCTAACCAACCTTCTGGTTATTTCCTATGTACACTAATGTTTGAGGAACATGGACCTAAATTTTGCTACTTAGAACAGAGTATATATAGCAATTGAGGCCCCACTCCTCTATTTATACCCAGTTCCTAGGGGGACAAACAGCCTTCCTGTCTGCTGAATCTCATGTATTTTTCTGTGGGGGAGGTATACTCACTGGTCATGATTGACATGCCACTGGTTTATGAAGACACAGCGTTCCTTGGGGATGTAGAAGCCTTTCAGTGTCGTGTCCCTTGTCGTGCTGAGGAGGGAAGAGGGCTCTGTCAGGCTCAGGGCAGGAACACCAGGGCATGTCTCTGGGAGCTACTTGCTCCTACTTCCCCCCCACCCCCCGAATAGCTTGCCCTCCACAGTCTCCATAGTCTCCATATCCTATACTGGGAGGGACTATCAGGAGCAGGGAAGGGATGAAACTATCCTTCCCCTTCCTCAGCTCCTTCAACTTCAGCAAGTGTTTACTAAACTTTTGTTTGTGTCCAGCTGTGCACTTGGTCATCCTCTGGAGCCAAGAGACAGGCAGTCTGGGCTAGCCCTGGGGAGTTCCCAGCCTGGCTAAGGAGTCAGGCCTTTTGCTCTGGGAATAACTAGACCAACATATGGGTAGAAGTAAATGTTCACTAACTCTCTTGACATTGTTAAAATCCCAGGACATAATCAAGGACAAATGACTGATCAGAGAATGAAGCTGTGCTAGCTGGATGAGTCAAGAAAGCCTGCTAGTGAAGGGCAAGTTTGTGATTGACCTTGGACAGGGATAGGGTTCTGGTAGTGGAAGAAGAGGTTAGAAGGCATTCCAAGCAGAAGGTCCAGCATAAGCAAAATTGGAGGTTGACTGCATCATGCTGGCCAGGTGCAGTGAGGCCAGCCTGGCTGGGTTGAGAATACTTGTAGGGAGGGAATGTGAGCAGAGGTGAAGGAGAGCTGAGGTCAGGAGTGTGACTTTCTCCTGAAAGCTGGGTAGTTTGATCATGGTTGGACTGGTTAGGGGCAGCCTAGAGGTTGAGGGTCTGTGAGGAACTTGGTGACACAGCCAGAAATGAGAGGCCAAGGTCTGAGCCAGGGCCAGGGCTGAGAAGATGGGAGGAAGAAACATGGTGAGGACTACAGAGGTGGCAGGTCAGGATAAGCTGGCTTTACCTGTGCGGGATGGTGAAGGGGACGAAGGAGGTGTGTCGGAAGATCTCCAGGATGAAGGCCTCCAGGTAGGGCAGCTGGGGTCTGTCGGAGAGCCGGGGCTGCCGGGCCCTGCCAGTCACTGTGTCTGCAGAGAACAGAAGACCAAACAAGGCTTAGGGCTGCCCTGACTGCTCCATGGCATCTAAGTCCCCTATTACGTGGAACTATGCCTTCTATATCTGAGGCCCATTAACCACCCTACCCCCAGCATGTTCTAGGCAAGAGTGGACACCACTGTATGCCCAGGGCTGCTACATAGTAGGTGCAAAACAGCTATATGGACATTGAAGAAATGACCTGGGGATCCCAAGTCTTCTCTCAGCTTGTACATCTCTACCACATACCCAACTCCTCCTGGATCTTTCTCTGTATCTCAGGGTTTGTCACAAGGTATATGAGGCTCCAGGAGATGGCCGTTGTGATGGGGTCAAATCCTGGGCAGCATGGTGCAAGGTGAGGAAGGGAGGAAGACAAGAACAAAAAAGCAGCATTTACTAAGCACCCAGCACTTACGTACCAAGCACTGTTTTCTCTGCCTCCTTCCCCCTACATCCTCTACCCTCCATGAGTTTCCTGAAGGCAGAGACCAGGTCTCCTCAACACAAATTTGAGTCACTAGTTTCATAATTAGCTGCTGGAATTACAGGGATCTAGACTTACAGGCTAGAGAACCCCTTATTGTTCAGGTGGGGAAACTGAGGCCCAGGGGCCAAGAGGGGCTTAGTTGAATTCCCACTGGGATCTGTTGGCCCAGCCTGGACTCCGACCCCGAATATGGGCCAGGTGTCTGTGTCCCACACCATCTGGTATGTGGTTAGCAAATGATCGGGTGGACTCAGGGGCCGGGCAAGTCTGTGGATGAACAACAGGCACTGATGGATGGGGGAAGGCGCATGGGTCTGGTTCCTACCTGCCCCGAAAATATCACTGATAAGGCTGACGAGCTTCTCATGGGGCATGTGGCCACCACCAGCTCTGGAGCCCTTCTCGTTGTGCTTCAAGAGGACCCCGGTGATGTCCTGGATGCTGCTCTGTGGGGACACAAGCTTGGGGCACCCTGGCACGTCCAGGTCAGACCTTGCCCTACCCCACAGGGCACTCCCGCCCGGCCTCCAGGCAGTAAGCTGAGCTTCCGGGGGGGCTGGTAGCAGCCCTGGGTGCCCTTCCTCCCAATAACCCAAGGGGGCCAATTTCAAGGGAGGGGGTTGGGGGAAGTACTGGGAAGCCAAGTGCCACCTGAGCTGCGGATTAGCTTCTGTCAGGGTTCAGGTTCCTGCAGAACAAAAGCCTTCTCATGATAACAGCCCCCCCCCCCCCCACGCATGTGGCACTCTGCCAGGGCCCCATTCACAGGCAAATATCTCTGGGGCTCTGAGCGACCCTGAGAGGGAGGCAGTTGGTTGAGAAAACTGAGGCCTGAGAGGGAGAGGGATTGGTCCCAGGTCACACAGCTGATCCAAGGCATTCCAGAGCCTTCCTAGGCCTTCGCAGCACATCAGCAGTGTGTGTACCTGGAGGCTGGGTGAGAGTGGCTACACCCAGGCCCCGCAGGGTGTCCCCTCACCACCAACACCCTGGGCTCACCTCGTCAAAGTCCTGGTAGTGCTCCTGCACAATTTTCTGCAGGAACTGCACTAACTTCTGGTTAAAGGCCTTGAATCTCTGCAAGGCGGGGTTGGGCATATACTGCAGGATGGGGAAGAAGTCCACAGGGTTCCCGGAGGAGGCAGTCTCCACAAAATCACTGCTGCTCTTGATGAGGCTGAGCATTTCCTCATTGCTCTGAGGGAAGTGCTGCCCAAAGCACATGGCACCAATGACATTAGCCACTGAGAGCAGCACTTGGTTGTAGGGGTCAAAGTGCCCAACCTCTGCCATCTGTTCCTGCAGCCTGCTGAGGAGGGCCTCGGCCTCCTTGCTCACATGCTCTTCCAGGTAGCAGGAAGACAAGGAACCCGGGTCGGAGGCAATGGAGAAACTCTTCAGGGCGCTCTGGGCCAGGCGCCTGCGGGCAGCCCACACTGGTCCAGAGTCTGGGCTGAAGGACATGCTTTGGCCATTGGTAATCAGAGTGAAGCTGTAGAGGTCGGGCCGGCCCTTGAAATCCTCACCCTGCCTCACTAGGGCCTGCCGGACAGTGTCCAGGCCGCTGAGCACCAGCACGGGTGTGGAGCCAATGTGGATTTGCAGCACGTCCCCATAACGCTGGCTCAGCCTGGACAGCGCCAGATGTGGGTTCTTCCCCAAGGTCAGCACGTTCCCCAGCAGGGGCCAGCCCCGGGGCCCCGGGGGACTCTTCAGGCCTTTGGGAACCCGAGGCTGCCAGGCCCTGACCACCCAGAGCACCAGGCAGAAGACGGCAGAGGCCAGGAGAAGCTCTGTGGCCATCTGGGACAATGCCATCTGTACCAACTACCAGGGAAGAAGGAGGAGCCAGGCTGAGTGTCAAGATGGAGCCATTCCTTCCTTCCTTCATTCACTCCCTCAGGCATACGTTCGGGGCTTGGCTCCCAGCCGGACAGCAGAAAGACTAAGATACACCCACCGTGGGTCCTGTGTCCCAGGAGCGCACCCTGAGAGCATCACAGAACCTGAGGCCTGGAAAGGAACCTCAAAATGCCCAACCTGACCCTCCCCTCTGCCCGTCTCCTCAGTCTCCAATTCTGAGGCTGGAGTGGAGGCAACTGACGCTTCAAAACAGGGAAGCACCCTTGCCAGGCCCCATCGCAGGGTTATGCTCGGCATTGTGCCAAAGGGTCCGTGCCAATGCTGGCTTCCTGCCAATAACTCCTCCCACCCAGGGAACAGGGAGCTGCTCCCACCCAGCAACACCCAGGAGGCCAAGGTCCCACCCAGGGCTGATGGGAACGACTGGTGACGGCCCCTTCCCCAAGGCACTCTTTACCACATCCAAGGAGAGCACCTCCTCCCCATCCCCTCACAATATTAGAGCCTGAGGTCGGGCTGCAGCCAGATCCATGGCTGCCCCCGTGCCAGGTGGGGACCCCTCCCCATTTCTCCATTTGAATCACGCTAAGGGTCCTTAGAGATGGCCCAGTCCAAGCTGCCAATTGAAAAATGGAGAAACTGAGGTCTGGAGATGGGCAGGAAGGACTAGAACTCAGGCCTCCTACACCTAACCCAGGGTCCCTACATTCCTCCATCTCCACTGGTTCCCAGGATACATTGGGCGGGGGGTCCCCAGGGACTGGAAAATGAGCCCCAGAAAGGTACCTGTAGACGGAGGTGCTTGAAATCAGCAGGCTTGTGGAGGCTGGTACAGAGCTTCTGGCTCCGGGGGAGGGGACCTTTTATAAATACCACCCTCTGTCAGATTGGCCCTGCCATCCTGGTCACCTGATATCAAAGTTACCAAATGAAGCTGGAAGGGTCAGTCCTTGGCCTTGGGCCATGATCCCTCAGCTCCACCTACTACCTGTGGCTCAGGGCAGCTCTTCAGGGAGAGGTGCTATGTCCCTAGGGAGGAATGCCCAGCTCTTTTCAGGGTCCCTAGGATCAATAGACTTATTTTTTTCCAGGGCAGGGCAGGTGCTGGGAGCAAAAGTCTTCTGGGTTGTTCCAGGCTCCTTTCCCACTGCCCCCATGGAGGAGAGACCCTGCCTGAGCCCTCGGACCAGGCTGATCTGCTCCCCTCAGGAAGGGTGCTTTGTAGCACCCCTCCGACCACCTGCAAAACCAGGTAGGGAACGGGCATGCTCTGGTCACCTCTGAATTTCAGCCCAGGTCCTCAATCTGAAAACAGATGAAAAGGCTGCTGCATTCTAAAGGGCGACCCCTTAGCCCTCCTTCCTCCTGATAAGAAATGACAAGAAACTTAAAATCAAATGAAGACTATCCATGCTGTGAGCTGTTCCTCATGGCAACTGACTTAGATTCTTCAAAACAGTCAATGTCATTAAAAAATAAAAGGTCCTAGGTTCCTGGGTGGCTCAGTTGGTTGGGTGTCTGTCTTTGGCTTAGGCCATGATCCCGGAGTCCCAGGATGGAGTCCCACGTGGGGCTCCCTGCTCAGCGGGGAGCCTGCTTCTCCCTCTGACCCTCCCCCTCCTCGTGTTCTCTCTCTCAAATAAATAAATAATAAAATCTTTTTAAAAAAATACATAAAAGGTCCTTTTCTAGAACAAAGAGCCTAGAGACAGAACAACCAAATGCTAATGTAAAATTTCACTAGACCCTAGACCTCAAGAAAAAATGTTTTAAAGCTGCAAAAGACATTTTTGTGACAATTGGAGGCACATGAGCATGGACAGAAGATTAGAAAATATTATGGAATTAATGTGTATTTCCTTTTTTTAAAAAAAATTTAAATGATTTATTTGAGAGAGAAGAGTGCACAACTGGGGGGATGGGCAGAGGGAAAGGGAGGAGCAGGGATTGGGGGGAGGATTGGGGGGATCCCAAGATACATCCAACATGGGTCCTGTGTCCCAGGGGATCCTTGGGGATCCCAAGACCCTGGGATCATGACCTGAGCCAAAAGGCAGATGCGTAACTGACTGAGCCACCCAGGCGATCCTAATGTGAATTTTCTTAGGTGTGAACATAGCATCGCAGTTATGTGGGAGGATATTGTAGGAAATCTTCTTAGGAGATTAATGTTGCAGCATGTAGGGGTGAGGTGTCATGATTTCTGCAACTTACTTTTAAACGATTCTGTTTAAAGATGAAATCGGAGAGGGAGACAAATCATAAGAGACTCTTAATCATAGGAGACAGACTGGGGTTGCTGGGGGGAGGGGGGTACCTGGGTAATGGACATTAAGGAGGACACATGATATAATGAGCACTGGGTATTATATAAGACCAATGACTCGGGGCGCCTGGGTGACTCAGTCGTTAAGCGTCTGCCTTCGGCTCGGGTCCTGATCCCCATCGAGCTCCGCATCGAGCCCCGCATCGAGCCCCACATGGGGCTCCAGGCTCCGCGAGAAGCCTGCTTCTCCCTCTCCCACTCCCCCTGCTTGTATTCCCTCTCTCGCTGTGTCTCTCTGTCAAATAAATAAATAAAATCTTTAAAAAATAAAAAAAAAGACCAATGAATTCCTGAACTCTATCTCTGAAACTAATAATACACTATACGTTAATTAATTGAATTTCAATAAAAAATAAATGATTCTGTTTAAAAGTGTACGTCCATGTGCGTATGTATATAGAGAGGAGAGTGAGTAGATACTGCAAATGTCAGCTATCCGAGGTCCTAGGGGAAAGTATGCGGGCGTTCAGTAAAAGTAAAGGAGACTTCAGGTAGCAAGAGGGCTGTTGCTTGGTAAGGAGTTCCACAGTGATTCTCTCTCCTCTCCCCGGGGAAGGCAGGAGGAACTCACCATCTCAAGGAGCCACGTGAGGAAAGTCCAGGAGACCCTAGCTTTGAGAGCGGGATACCTGCAAGAGGGGAGAGTGGCTTCCCCTTCCCAGCCAAGGGGCCAGGTGGGTTGGAGAATGGGGAAGGGAACTCTGCCATTTGTATTATTTATCACATACTTTATAGAGCTTGATAGTTATGGGCCCAGTTGTTCTAAGAGCTTTACATATATGAACGAAAAACATTCTCAGTAATCTTGTGGAATGGAAATTAACACTATTTTGTTTTGTTTTGTTTTTTTATTATTATATTATGTTAATCACCATACATTACATCATTAGTTTTTGATGTAGTGTTCCATGATTCATTGTTTGTGTACAACACCCATGCAGGACGTGCCCTCTTTAATACCCATGCAGGACGTGCCCTCTTTAATACCCATCACCAGGCTAACCCATCCTCCTACCCACCTCCCCTCTAGAACTCTCAGTTTGTTTTTCAGAGTCCATCATCTCTCATGGTTCATCTCCCCCTCTGATTAATACTATTTTTATATTACAGTGGAGTAATAGAAGCACAGAGAAGTGGTGTAATTTGCTCTAGGTCCCAGAGCTGGCACCCAAACCTTCAGAAGACTGCTCTGGACCAGCACGCTATGCACCTGCCTGGAAAGTATCCCTGGACTGGGGGGAGCAGCTGAATGGTGGGGGCAGCAGAGGGCAGCCTGCATGACCAGAGTGGGGTGCAGTACCAGGATATGAGTCTCCTGAGAGTCAGGTAGATATCCCGTAGGGATGGGACCTCACTGCAGAAGAGAGGGACCCCTGTGGGGGTGAGCTGGTGGGGGCGGGCAAGATGTCAGCCAGGGTCCATCAGCCACTTTGGGACTCTGTGATGTGAGGACAGTTGGGGCTCTAAGGCACTTGATGAAAAGCTGGCCGTGGAACATCTGCGACGTAAGGGCATCCTTAACCCAGAGAGATGATACACAGTACCAGCCAGATAAAAAGAGATTGGCTTCTCCTCCAGCACCCTCCCCCTTCGCGCCCTCTGATGGAGAGGCCAGCAAGGTGGGGGGCAGTGGAGGGAAGGAGTACAGAAACAGAGCAAACTTCTCCCCTTCCCACGGGGTCTGGTTGGGTCCCCGGGAGGCTGGGAATGCTCCCTACCTAAATTGGATATGAGAAGCCATGTGTGATTTAGATTGGACTGGGCTCTCTAATTCCTGAAAAGGAGAAAGCTGTGGGGTCAAACTGGGCTGAGGTCAAGGGGCAAGGTTGGGAAGTCTGATAGAGCTGCAGAGCATGTTTGAAGACCTTGGCTGAGAGAAAGGACAACTGTTTTCTGTCTGTATCTCTACTGGGTTCAGCTCACACAATAAAATGATCAAGGTCTGAGACTAGGCTAAGTTTTATTTACAGAAAACTATTTCTCTCTTTCTGTCTGTCTGTGTCTCTCTTGCCCCCACCTCCCTCCCTCCCTGCCTCCCTCCCTCCGTCCTTCCCTTCCTCACCCTCCTCTCTACCTCTGTCTCTTTCTCCCTCTCCCTCTCTCTTGCTCTCATTCTTCAATGAACTAAAGTCATACTTTATTCAGATCTCCTTAGCTTTTGCCTGATGTCTTCTTTTGTTCCAGGGTCCCATCAGGAAGACACCACATAGTACTGAGTGATCATGTCTCATTAAGCTCCCCTTGCCTATGACATTGCTCAGACTATCTTTGTTTTTGATGACCTTGACAGTTTTCACGAGTACCAGTCAGGTATTCTGTAGGATGCCCAGTACTGGAATTTGTTTGTTTCTTTCATGATAAGGCTGCGGTTATGGGTAATTGGTAGGAAGACCAAGAAGGAAAGTGCCATCTTAGTCATATCATGCAAGGCTACATGTTGTCAACCTGACTCAGGATGGGTGATGTTGGCCTCGACCACCTGGCTGAAGTTTGTCAAGTTTCAGTATGGTGAGTCACTCCTTCCGCCCCTTTCCATACTGTGCTCTTTGGAAGAAATTCACTGTGAGCAGCCCACATCTATGGAGTGGGGAGTTCTGCTCCCCATCCTTGAGGTTGGAGTAGCTACATAAAA